TAATTTTCTTTGTATGTAGGATCACCTACATGAGACTTGATAGGAGCCAAGAAGTGACTTTCCCTGTTGAGAGAATCAGGGCACTTTAAAATCCCCAATCCATTAGATTTTAAGCATCAGAGGTTGTTAAAATGCTGGCGCCATCGGGGCCTGGCTCCCTGATCTATACTGCTCACCTAAAATTGGATTTCTCAGCTTGTTAATGAGGAAAGCCTGGCTATGAGCATTTGAGGCTCAGAATAGGTAGAGTTTGAATGAGTGCAAAGGGAAAAAGGGGTCAGGCGTAGGTTACTGCCAGGTTAGGGGAACACACTGTATCACGAGTCCATACCGATAACTGAAAAGGAGACAGGCCCCAGAAATACCTAAGGTCAGCTTTCCCTCGGCCACAGCTTGGGGAATCACTAGCTGCCGGTATCCTTGGGTGCTCACTGCTGGTCGGGAGAAGAATCTCACCAAATGCTTAACAAGACTAGAATGAGTAATTTCCTTTTAACCTAAGTCCATTTTATTCTCAACTCCTACTTGACCAAAGTTCTCATCCCTAGTCACAAAGGTCAGTAGTTGGAAGAGATGTCACAAGAGCCCTAGATCATATCATTGCAACACGCGGAGCCCGGCCCACAGAAGCATGGCAGTTATTAAGTCATGTTCTTCCAAATGCCAGAAGCCAGGTTTGGGTAGTAGTTGAATCCTCACTGGACTCCTGTAATTGCTCGAGGCCAGAGTTACCCAAACTTTAGTCACTCAACTTCCAATACTACAGTTTTAGTGATACCAGTGAGTCTTACCTACCATATTACATAGTAATTTTATCCCCTGTACTTCCAGCATTTGCATTTACTTCATATTTTATTTAAATTACCTTTAAAATGTATTTCAAGTAGAAACTTTGTCATCATAAATGGGGGGGGAAAGTGTCACTATTCATAGATAGAAGGTCACCATAAAAAAGTAACTGAAAGCAAAACCGCTTTAATCCCAGCTAGCTCTAGCTGCATGGCAAAGCCCCCAGTCTAAAGCCTGTTTATTCTTGTCAGAGTGGGGTAGTAGCAAGTCAGGGGAGTCGTTAACGGTAAAGCACCAAACTGAGACTTTTCCCTTGACATAACCAAGAAGACTGAAAGAGAAATGAAAAGGGCATGGCTTCCAGCACAGGATTCAGTATTCTTGAAGGCCGTGATGTCCCGAACCACCTAAATCCCGTCCTGTAAGGAGCCGCCTGTCCTACTGGGAGGCCCTACTGCTGTAGGCTACACTGCGTTGGAGGAATCGTTGATACACTCTGTGATCTAGAAAATTCTCTTCAGGATTGTTCATGAAGTATGGACAACATACTCATCACCATACTTGACAGACCTTATGAATCTTACTGCAATATTATTTCCCAAAGTAAAAAGTGCTTACACAAATAGCTTGTACATTGATTAAAATATATTCAACATTTACTGTATGTTTTAGTTTAAATTATTCATTTGATACCTAATTTAAATTCTGTTTCTGTATCTTTTTCTTGTCTGCAATGCGTATATATCCTCTTGACTAAATATAATTGATAGTATCTCATTTTAAAGATTTCCCAAAATATATAAGCATACTACAGCGCTGGCATTTCCAATCAAATGGGAACATCTTTGTATATATTGACCATTTTATCTGTTTTCTGACCACTCACAAGAACTCTATAAAGTCTCAAGTAGGGGATTTTCTTCTGATTTATTGTGTCCTAAGAGCAGTGGTCAGCATTTTCATTTTATATTTATGCTGTACAGCTCTCTTGGCAGATGAGTACGTGGCTAATTTCCTCACATATCTTGCAGCCTTCTTGGAAATCAGGTTTTATGGTATTATTACTTTTGGTCAGAAACAAGAGGCACAAGAGTGGCTATTAATTTTCAGTATTGCTTAACCTAAAAAAGAACGCTCTTATTTCTTTTGCTGTGGGAAGAGAGGTGGGGGGAGACAAGCCAGATCTAAAAATAAAGTGGATTTTCTTTCTTATTCATATGTAATTAGAGCCCCTTTGTAACTACTCATTACCACCTCAATAGTTATAGGATGAATAAATAATATATATTTTTAAATGTGGCAAAACCAAGAAAGAAGTAGCCAGGGCTGCATCCAGTTTATCAACTTGGTGATTAAAGGGCTGGCTAGAGGCTCCAGACATCTAGGGACCCAGAGATAAAACAGAGCAGTTGGCTGTGTTTTTACTAATGAATCTAGGGCTTGAAAGATATCAGGCAATTTTAAAGAAAAGCAGCAAGGACAAGAGACATTAGACAAGGCCAGTAGGGTAATGAAGGGCAAGGCCAGTTACTGAGAGAGAAAATTACTTCATTTTTGGTGATAATGCTTCTGTGAGCCTTACGGGCCTCTTCTCACGCTTTGTTAGTATAACCGTCTATGTACATACAGCATCAGAATGCTCCTCACAGTGTAGAAGGAAAGAGCCTTGGAACATTCCACAGAAGGGCAGAGGGCTTGGGTCTATTATTTGGAAAGGGGGAGGCTGAGAACAATGGTAGCAGAAGGGGGGTTAGATTGCAAGGTGAGGATTGGTGCTTTGACAGAATGTGAAGAACGTACAGGATTAAATTGAGACGAAAGACAACAGCAAGGAAAAGAAAGAAAAAGGCAAGCAAACATACTCTGGAAATGCAGGATTGTCTGGAGGATGTCGTGGGACAGAGAGTGGGGCCGGCCCAGTGGTGGTCAGCAAATCTGCAGGGCAGGGCTGTGGGCTCCTCGGCTCACTGGCCTCTTACTTAGCAGCCAAATTAAAAAAAAAAAAAAAAAAAAGGCATGGGGCACTTGACTCCTCCTCAGCAAGCTGGTGAGCGGGACACATTTTCTGCTTAGTGGGGAAATGTGTGATATTTTAGGAACAATTCCAGAGTATATTTAGCTCCTAAAGCTGGGGCACACAAATGTCACATTCCCATGAGACAATCGACCCAGTGAAAAGAGCACCCGCCAGAGGCCCTCGCAGAACCCATGAAACTCTCGCATCCCAGGAGATGCTGTGCACGCGGATGTGACATCATTAAGCACCCACATCAGGAAATGAAAAGAAGCGAGGAGATCACAGACTGGGCTAAGCTGCGGGACGTCATCATGAGTCAGCAAAGAAACAAGACTTTTCCAACGGAATCACGCCATCGCCAAGTCATACCACACAGTGCTTAGCGAAACAGAACAGAAGGTGAAAATAAATCATGAACATTAAACAGAAAAACAATTCAGAGCAAAATGGAAATCAAAATCATAAAAATCATGGCAAAAGGAACATTAAGCTACGTTTTGTTTTCGAAAAATTTTTCTGCATAACAACCCATTGTCATTGCCCCATCAAATACATACTCAATTGTCAAAAACCCAACTCGAATTTGACGGGGCAAGGCAAGGAGTTAACAGGAACAGTGATCATGTTCAACACCCATGCGGTCACTTCTGCCACCATTGCTTGACAGTTTGTAGACTGCTTCCAGCTTTGTCAATATTCATAATAAGACCCAAGAGAACGAACAGTGCCGAATTTTAAAATGATCTGTCAAAGTGTTAATTGGACTCTTCGATAACCTCCATCCCTTGGGGGAGTTAACAACTGGAGCATTCATGCCACCCGTCTCAGTGAAGTGAAGAGAAAATGATTGTAACCAACAGCTAGCGATCTGGTTGACACACTTAATGCTTTACCGGAACGGCTGTTTGGTTTTTCAGAAAGTCACGGTGGCCAAACACCAACTGATTTCACGGAGCCGTCTCTTCGGGAGAACTCGGCCAAGACCAACACATCTGCGGTCTGGAGCCACACATAACAAATAATGGCACACGGTAGGGCTTGTGGCCCACCGTGATAGTTCTGTCCCGTCACCCATGAGCCTGGCGCGCTCGCGGAACGGTAAGAGCGGGATGCTGTCAGCTTCAGGAGGCTGCCGAGGCAGAAGCCACTCTTTTTAAGGTCTGGGGCAGGGAATATGAATCAGAAGTTCTAGAGGAATAAGAAAATTGATTTTTGAGGGGACACGCTCCAGAACAAGTTACAAGGGCTACACCCTCGCATTGCGGCTTGGCCCATACAGCAGCGGAGGTGAGTCGCAAAAGAGAGGGTGCGGGTCTAGCGTGTGGGGCTGCCTGGCCAACAGTCTCTCAAAGTAAACATGGAAATACATACATAGAAAACCCCACGGTGGGGACACGACAGAGACTGGCCTCCAAGGGTCACAGTGGCTAACTGGGCTTTTCAGTCTCTGATTTACAAGACTGTCTTTTGGACAAGCAGCTGCAACTAAAGTAGGATGTGTTACCAGAAGCAGCCACTGGTGAGAAAAGAGAGGACATTTCCTGTCTCTAGTTGAGCAAAGAAAGCCGGGGAGAATTTAGGACAGTTCACAGTAGAGTCCCTTTCATGGAGCGCAGCTTCCTTTCTGTTTTAAATACATAGCAATTCTGCTTGATTAAATAACATATTTTTGTCTTAGCTGTTGTCCTCAAAGGGCAGTTACGGTACATTGCAGGATGACAGCTCTGTTCACTTTCAGCACCATGCGTGAGGGAGGGATGCTACGGGCCAGTAAAGACTCTGCCCTGCTCTCTCTCCATTCACACATTGAGCGGGTCTTTGCCTGGATTACGTGCACGTGCCAAGGCCGGCCCTGCATTCCATCCCGTTGTGGAATGGGAAAGGAGGACCCAGAATCACAGAATGAGCTCAGAGGAGTGGAGAGGGATCTGCTTTGGGCCAAGCCGCACCTCTTTTGGACGGAGGGAGCTGAGAGGATGTGTTATTTGTTTTGTGTGTTTTCTCCTTGATCCGGGAATAATTGAGGATCAAGCCGAGCACAGAGGACTGGATTGTAGTCTTTTCTGAGACGCTCTCAATCAGTGTGTTGGAGGTTCCTCGAATGCTGCTACGATGCAGCTGGAAGCAGTTACACGGTCCTCCTCACTCTTCCCTCCCTCTCCCCCCAGAGGAAGAGGCATTTCCAAGGCCTTACCCTTCTTGTCTTGGTGATTACGGGAAGACACCGCCCCCAAAGAGTCTGTCCTGTCAGGTGAATCGAGCAGATCCTTCCAGTCCAGCATTCCTGCCCTAGACTCATACCCCTCTTGAGCCGCCGCATCTGACGTGGTGGTGCTGGGCAAGAGGGAACTGGAGTGCCCTGTTTGCATCACAAATACAGTTAGGCAAAACATCGCAGGAGACCCCCACATTCCCTTTGCTCAGAGGCCAGGAGGGGGACCCCCAAGCTGGCTGTAGGACTGAAAGGAGACTGCCCTAGAAATAACAGGCTTGGGGGCTGGGGTTCCGCAGAAAACTCCCTGCCCTTGCACTTAGAGGATGAAGGGCCTGATCCTATCTCTGCTGCTTGCTGGGTGAGCCTGGGAGATTCACTTAATCTCTCTGGGCCTTGATTTTCCTTGTGCACAAGACGGGGATGATGTCACTTACCTCCCTGTGTGGGGAGGATAAAGTGACATCATGGCTAAAGTACCCAGCAGTGTCTGACACACAGCACGTGCTCAAGAAATACTGGGGTCCTTCTCTGGTATTCCCACAGCACCACTAAAGGCAGGATGTGTCCACTCTGGGGGACTCCATTTGTGACTGATGGGGCAGGTGGATGGTAGTGGATGAGCCTCTCACCTCTTGCCTCTTAGAAACAACTCAGCGGTTCCACGCCCTTCCCACTGAGCCTTTCTCAAGGTGTGTCTAGTTTTCAACTTCAGCTCAACTTCACAGGTTCCCCATTTCTAAGAGAAGTGATGGCATTCTCAAGGGAGCTGCTCCCACCACCGCTTCCCTGGAATGGCAGCCTCAACCGCCCCATGTTGCCATGACTGTGCCTTCCGCGTCTTGTTCTGGCAAAGTCAGTCCCATGGTTTATGACCCATACTTGGGAGAGGTTGTTCTTGAGGCCATGATTCAGATTAGAAAGGGATAGCTTTTTGAGATCCAGAGGAGCCTACCAGAGGATGGCATCAGGAAAAGAATGGCCAGGTTGGGAGTTATGGCAGAAACTCTGGATTCTTCCTATGAACACATTCCTAAGCTTTCCTGCCAGCATCCCGCAAGGTTAAATACAGGTTGCACCAGGTGCTTTGATGTCCAACTGTCACAGTGGTTTAAAGGTCCTCACTACCTCTTCTCTCCGGTAGAAATAAAATTTAACCTGTGATTTTCCATTAGAGTCTTTGGCTCATTAAACCGTCTTAGCTCTAGCAGCCTCTTGAACAATGTTTGAAAAGACATCAAGGCAACTTCTGTGAATGTGGAAACAGTGCCTCTGGTAGAAAGGAGGGCAGATTCACAAGTGGCTCCAGCCTTGGGCTGTGATCACCACGTATGTGATAAATAAAATACTGGTGACCAGAAAGAAAGATCACAATGATCAATGAATTGCATTCCTCTTTATTAGTTATTATAATAAGTTGGGTTCCCAGGAGACTCCAGTGCTGCACATAACAAGACAACCTATGTAAAGAAGACCTCAGGAAAAAGCAGAGAAGCCAGGTGGGTCACCTACATTCTAATGATTTCTGTGGAAGCACCACTCTTAAATGCCCCCACAGCACTTGGGTGACATTTAAGAAACCTCCTTCTGTGTAGTTTGTTCTCCATGCAGCTTCAAACATTGGTGCACATAGTCTGGTTTCTGTCCAGCTGTTAGGTACATGTTCATTTACAACTCAAGAATGCTTGCATCTAGACTGTCTGTTTTTACATTCCTGGGTTTCATAGCTCATCTCTTAATACTGGTAAGAGAACAGGAGTAGCGAAATCAAGCCGGACTTGGAAATGCAGAATTTCTCTTCCTTCTTTTTTGCTTATATCGCGGTCTGAAAGAGAGCCTCTGTTTCCTACTCCTGAATTCTGCACCGCTCTTACGCGATATATGGTCAGCCTAAGAGAGAATGCAGCACCCAGCCTAGGCAAACCATCAGAAATCGCTTCGTAGGGAGTTAGAAGGGGCGGGGGGGGGGGTGTGTGTGGTGGTGGCGGGGAACGAAACCCTTTTCTCCAAGTAGCAAGAATTTTTTACCTGAATTGATACGCATTTTGAGTACTTTCAATTTAACTGTGTTCAAGGGGCAGTTTTATGGTAATGCTGTAAGTATGGTTTAGGGAGAACATTTCTTAATACGGTAATCTAGGGGAAATATATGCCTAAGGGACACATTCTCCATCGAAAGATTTCCTGGACCATATGCTGCAAATACATGGAAAACTCATTTGTAATGGAAAGCTATGGCTATGAGAGGAAATTAATGTAGACCAGATGGTAGTTAGGTAGGAAAATGCTTTACACAAATGTGAGAAATCAGCTCCTTCCTATTGCTCAAGTGTTAGTCTAATACCCACCACATCCCCATTTTCTGTATGTAAATCTAGAGAAACCATGCATCTGATGTACTCAGAATTAAAGGAAAAAACTGAGCAGCCTGAGGTTTGTATTCTTTTAAACTTATGCTTGAGGATAGGCAACATGTGTCACTGGTGAAATCAGACAATCGGAGAAAGCAATACCTGATTCTCAAAAATTTTAGAACCGCCTCATAAGAGCACGATTAACCAGCAGTCTTTAGTTCGAAATCAGAGAGGCATGTTGTTATTACTACTTCTCCAAGCTTAAGATGTTAAGAGGGAGTCGCTTATGTTCTTTCTTAACATCTGATTCTACAGGCTGTACCATCTGTGTCTTCCCTAGGAGACCCTGTGACCAAAATAATGCTACACAGATAGGCATTGATTTGTAGGCATGGTATTACAGGTCAGTAGATTTGGAGCCCATGATTTTGTCTTGTTAATCCATCATGAAAGGTCATATTTTAATCAGTGGAGCTTATGATGTGTTCTTTTTTTTTTTTTTTTTTTAAGTAATCAATCTCTCCATCTAATGTGGGGCTCGAACTCACGACCCTGAGATCAGGAGTCGCACACTCTGCTGACCGAGCCAGCCAGGTGCTCCTGATGTATTATTCTTATAATATGCAAAGAAATAGATTTTAGAAGTTAAATTTAATATGCATCACATTGTTTCTCTGTATCTACAAGTCTTTGTGATTCCAGAGATTAGAGACACTTCAAACCACTGTTACCTATTAGCAATGGTTGTAGCCAATTAGACACAAAACAAGAGACACTTAGTACAAGAGAGGGAGAGAGAAGGCAAACAGGGTCCAATTCACTAAAAGGGGTTCTTGCATACGTGAACTGCTATTGCACAGACCTTTGCCAAGCAGAGAGACTGCATGATTTATTATAAAGATTCCTTTTTCTGAGTTAGGCAGTTCGAGTTTTACGGCTCTCTCTCTGCACTCAGCCACTGAACATTTTAGGGGGGACGTGCAAAGGACACAGCTAGGGACAGTGGGTGCATTTTGGACTTTGTGGTTGGCTTCCTAGTCTATATCCGTGTTCATACAAATAGCAATTTGGTCTTTCCTTTGATGGTAGAAATTCGACACTGTAGTAGGCACTCAACACGTATTTGCTGAGTGAATTAATGAAATCTGTTCTAGGTTTTTTAACTCCAAAATAAGCATCTCTTGGAATAGTTCGTGAAAAGAAAGTCTCCTGTGTTTTCGTAAGTATTGTCTGGACCAGTTCTTATTTTGGTGGTCAATCATCTAACAACTTGACGCCGGACAGATTTAGCCTAAAATGGATAGGATCATTAGGTGAAAGGAAAATTCTACCTCTTCTTTAATTTCATCACAGAAGCCACTGATCAAGAGCTGAGGGCGAACAGGCATCATGCCTTAAAATGTTAACATGGAGGAATTAATAAGTTCCTTTCCCTTTGTAAAGGAAATAGGAGAGATCCATAGATTGGAGGGTGACTTTTTCTTCCTAAAAAGCATCCCATCGTTTATTCTTTCTATATGAGAAATTACCTGGGAGTTAAAATTGGTCTTCGTCCAATTGATGAATGCTGGGGAGGTAGCCGGTTCAATTAGATTTAAGACCTGAATTCCTCAGTATCTGATAAAGATTATTCAATTATAGGAAATGATTGCAAAGCGTGATATGGGAGGAGAGCAGATGCTAAGTGGGTTCTCTTTCTGAAGGGTGAGCTAAGCTAGATGACCTCTGCCTCCTGAGAAATTTTTCTTCATTGTTGGTGTTCAGTATTCTGGCTTGAGTAACAGATGAGACTAAAGGTGGATGAATTCTGTGGGCTCATCTGCTTTACGTGGCCTCCCTTCACAAGGAAAACAGGAGAAACCAAGCATTGTTCCCCATATCTGCACAGCTCACTTAGGACTGCACAGCCTTTAGGACTTCCAAAGAGGCTTTTTATTTATGCTAATTAGACACAGGGAGTAAGAGTTCATTACATAGAGCTGTTAAATACATGTGTAGCCGTCTTAAACTATTTCTTCAATCCTAAACCTGCCTTGCTTTCTTTTCTTTCCTTTTTTCCCCTTCCTTTATTCCCTGCCTCTATATTTAAAGACTGTCCTGGAATTGTTACTGTTAATGTATTTTTAACACAAAAGCTATAAAATGCGCATCAGTGAAACTCTTAGTCCCCATTATAATGCAAAGCTTAAATCTTCATCACATGTGTTTTTCATATTTAAAAAATACTTGAATAGTTTACCCTATAAACATTTGGGGGAACTCTGAGAAATAGCAATGGAACACTTCAATTGCATTTCAATTTTTCTTATAAAGGGCTCAGAATATTCTGTTTATGGACTTCATGGCTTTGTTTAATGTATTGTCTGTGTATTTCAGAGCAGCAACAATGGGATAGATCCTGTTTGCACATCATTTCCACTGCGTCACTCTTCCTTGTATACATTCTGAAGAACTCTCACTGAAAATATGTCTACATATTCATACTCTTTGTGAACTTAAGTTTCAAATGGCTAATTTTCATGTGATATCGGAAAGGTTTGTTTGCCTCGTAAGAACTGGTCTCTGCATGCTGTGTAGACCCCCCCCCGCCTGCTGCAGAGGGTATTGCCCTGAAAGTCAGCATTTTGGGGAATGGCACTCTTTATCAGTTAAGAGCTATGGCCTATTACTTAATAAGCACTGTTCTTTTATCTTGGATATACTCATAGCCCAAAAGCAGTTTCTTCTCCCTCAAGAACTCATTAAATGTATTCACCAAATTCCCTAAGGTTGGCGAATTTCATGTTCTGTGGATTAAAAATGTAGGAACCAGTCTCCTATGTCAATTGTCTCTCATAGGCAGTGATTTTTGAAGCATTGTGAAATTGATAAATAATTTTAGTGAATTGGGGCCCTGAAGTAACAAAGAATCTGGTCCATGATGTTTAGGGATGAAAACTATAAACTACCACAGGATGAGTGGCTTAGAATTAAAAAAAAAAAAAAAAAAGTCCATAAACTGACCATATACTGTGTTGTAAGACATTTCATAATCTGGAAGAGGAGTTGAAATGTCTATAAAAAAATAATGAGGATAAAAAATTAATTAAAAAAGAAACTTAAGGTTTGAAAATACTCAAGAGGATTAGTGAAACAGGATTTCCCACATAGATTTCCATCGATATTAAATTATGAGTAATATCTTCCTTACCATTCAGGGCCACGAAGGAATCTGGAAGACAAAAGGGAGGAGAAGGTTACTTAATGTTTAACCCTCTGCTTAGTGTGACTTACATAATAAGTAGGAATGAGCTAACACAGAATTATGCTAACATGTGATCCCCAGTACTAAGTAAGTGCTTTTTAATTTCTGCGTGTAATACAAGACACTTTATATCGGGTCCGATTTCACACTCCTCTATCTCTTCCCTGAGTGAGTTTCCTCAAAGTCACTGCCCTTTGTTGCCAAGGCTCAAAGAAACAGCAAGAGTTAGTAGAAGGAAGGGAACTGCGATTATACGTGATTCTGGGACTTGAGGCCTTACTCCATACAGAGGGATGTGTATGCAGGTGAAAGAAGTGACACCTGGACCACACTTACAAAACACTCTTGTCTTTACGCTCTCTCTCGTGTCGTCCTCTCAACCACACACATAGGTGTGTGCGTGTGCGGTGTGTCTAGGTCGCGTCACTGGTTCATTCAGCTTCCTCCTCAGCCTCTGACACTGACTCTTCAGGATTTCCTCATTTCCCCTAAAAATCCTGTTCAGGAGTCACTGTGCACCAATTATCTAAATCCTCTGAATGCCTTTATGTGAACAGGTATGGCTAGCAGAAGTAGGTCATGCTGTAGCTGGAGCAGAGAGAGCGAGACGCCGCTAGGAAAGGCAGCGAGGGGCAGTTGTTCCTCCTGCCCTGAGCCGGGTACCCTGAGTGCCTCACCAGGACTGGAGTTCAAGGTTAGGTAGCCCATGAAAACAGAGGCTTGCCCCCTGAGATTGAAGAGTAGATCACGGGTTGGGGACCTGAGGGTCTCCCCTGCGTTAGATACAGAGGCTTCCTTCGGTTCCTTTGTCCAAAAACACACAGGTGGCGGGGACACGTGATAGAGACAGTAACAACCATTTCACAGCTTTCATCCGTTCGGTTATCCAGTCCCAGTTGACACCCCTATTTTCTACAAATGCCCATGACACCAGATCATAAAAATAGGAAGAAAATTATTCACTGAAGTCAGCTAATTAAGTTTGCTCACACAGACACACACACAAACCAGAACTTGTTTCCCTGAAAATGGAGCCATAAGGCACCGACATGATTAACATGATTTAAGATCCACTGATCAAACATCAGACTGTTTGACGCACACAAGTAACGCAGGCCTTTTGGTGATAACAGTCTCCTGTGTGGATTTCTTCACGCATAAATTTTGTGTTTGAAGACCCAATAAGAAGCTTTTGCCGATACGTAATATTTGCAAACAAAAAAATACAGCAAAGAATTCGGAGATGAGGCTGCCCGTAGTCCTCTTTATTTAAAGGGTAATATTTGATCTCCAAAAAAAGGTAAGGTAGAAATTTGGAACCTTAGAGTCTGAGATTTCAGTACTCTTGGCCCAAAGATTGAGAGTTTGACCCATGATTTCCATTATAGAACCGGGTATCAGAGTAATACAGTTTCATTCCCCTAGGAGCTGTTTTCGGGGTGCCATTTTGAATGAATGTAAGCTTCCTAGAATCATCATATATAACATTTGAAACACTGCGAACTATTTTCCAAGAGAGTGTCATTATTCTCTAACTTAGCATTAGTAAACATTTTCAGGAGCATACCCATGTTAATCAGATCATAGGACAACTGGGCAGATGTTTGACCAGCATCTTTTATATGAAGTTCCAACTAAAATGTTACCATTTAGTAACTTTTGAAATGAACTCCGAGGTAAGCATAATAGGCTAGTTCCTATAAAAAAGGTTATTTTGAGTCATCTTGTACTTTGTGGGTTCTTCCTGAAGTTTTTTCCTACGGGGAATGGTAACAGACATTAATTAAAAAAAAAATTACTTTTATTAGGCGATATGTTTGAGAAGAACAAAACCCTCCCATTCAATTAGAAAGCTAGAGTACAGTGATCAATCTTTTTATTATTTGGCTAAGAATTACGGTGTGATAACACATTTTTTAAAACAACAAGACCAGTTTTTTAATGGAAGTGCTGATCTAACTTACTGCTCGGTGATAATTAATATCCTCTGGAGTGAATTGGTTCCACAGCATTTATAGCAACAGCACTGGGGGCGCTGCTCTGCAACACACTGTTTTCTTTATCTGACTTTCAGAAGATGATTTCTGTTACTTCTGCCTGGCTCAGTGCCAGCCACACCCAGCCGCACATGTGGCGTTATGTTTCTGGGCCATCCGACCAAAGGATCTTTGCACAAAGATGAGCATGGATAAAAAGCTGTACTTACTGTGACAGTCTCCCAGGCCATCTGTACTGCCACGTTCTAGGTCCTGTTCAAAAGTCAGTCTTTAAAAAGAAAAAAGGAGCAGGGAGAAGAAAGAAACAAATTCAATAATGCAAGTCCTTACTCCAGAATGAGTCTGAAGTTTCACTACAGAAATGAACACGGTTTGATAAACTGAGTGGCAGGTGCAAAAAAAGAAGTAGATAACGGCTGGGAAATCTGTCCCCGAAGTTTATGGAAATGAGTCTCACGTGACTGTCCGAAGAGAAGCCGGGGTTTAAGCAGCTGATTCCGATATTATTCAGGAAGTGAATTAGTTGGCGGATTATTTATATCCTCCTTTTACAGATTCTTTGAGCATTTCTTAAACATTTAAAAAGTTTAAATGTTAACTCTTTATAAATGATACAGAAGTCTGTAAATTAAAAAAAGTCTCTTCCTCTCTCCTTTTGCTTTGACCCCAGCACTGCCTTCCTAGACCTTGATCTATTTCTCTGTGTAGAAATGACCTGTATAACAGAGTGTTCCAAGGAACAGATGGCTGGGGGGCATGTAGCGCCCTTGAGGGGATGGGCCATGGTGGTGGATTGTGCTGAGACCCCCGGAGACCCCGTGGCCCTGTGACTCGACAGTATTACCCACATGCTCCTCCACAAGCTCACTCTTCTTTCAAACCCATTTGGTCACCATTGGGCTGCACAAGGTGTATAACAAGACCAATCTCAATATATCTGTTTTGATTTTTTAAAATAAGCCCACTGGACTCACTCAGAGGAGTACTGTCCTTTTTTGGGCGGGGGAGCTCCGTGCTGCTTCTCACGGCATCATTGAAACTCTGGTTTGCAACTGCCCTAGAGTTTATTTTATGGACCATTTAGGAAAACTATCTGGAAAGTCACCACCTTGATCGAATCCTTCACCATGTTTGTTTTCCAGTGTTTTTTTCTGTTAAAAATCAAATTCATATTCAAAGGATAAAGATTTTCAGTGGTAGTGAAAGCCAGAATTCATCAGGCCCTGAAGGCTGTTTTCCAAGGAGAGTTCCACATGTTTTGAGCAATGAAATATAGATGTAGATCCTTAAGGGGACAATTTTGGAGTTCACATGTTTACTTAAAAATTATTTTCTTTTAAGGTTTTATTTATTTGTTGAAGAGAGCAACTGAACACAGGCAGGGGGGAGGGAAGGGGTAGAGGGAGAAGCAGACTCCCCACTGAGCAGGGAGCCCGATGCGGGACTCGATCCCAGGACCCTGGGATCATGACCTGAGCCGGAGGCAGATGGTTGACCGACTGAGACACCCAGGCTCCCCGACTTAAAAATGATTTTTAAAAATCAGTCACACCTTGAATATAGAAAGGAGATAGGTCATTTCTTAGCTTTCCTCAGTGTGATTTGTGATCTTTACTCCTTCACCTCAAGGGTTCCCATGAAAAGATACAAAGTTCTAACTCTAGTGTGTCAGTATTGCTACTTGTGAAGCTGATCTCATCATGTGTAGTGAGTCAACCCTTTGTACTAGTCAGATTTCCAGGTCAGACTTTAACAACTGTCATGAGCTGTGTTTGTGGGAATACTTTCCCTCAAATTATGCATGTGGTGGTCATCAGATACGCTCTCCTGCCTGTCCAGCTATTCTAAAATGGGAGAGGAGGCTCAGAGTGATGGCGAGACGATTCTTTGCCCTCTTGGATCTGGGGACGTTGAAGGAATGGCTCAGACAGAACTGTGCTGCCATATTGCACCTTCCTCGAGTTGCCGTAACTTGTCAAGGATGTGCATTGGATTTCATATCCACTAAAGTAAAGACGGGGGGAAAAAACCTTTAATGCCATCTAAGCATTTAAAGTCAGGGTAACAATTTTAAGCACCAACATCACAGGCATGATGGACTGGCCTGATCTAGCTGATCGGCTGGAGAACTGCCAAGAATTGACTTGACTCCCTAACGAGTAATAGGGTCCACAGTTCTTCAGTGCAGGAGAATGGTTTATTGGATGCATACACCATCCTTGCAGTACAAATGCATTGCTTAACAGATGCTCTGTGATCTCTTCTCGGCCCTGCATGGTCCATTAGAGGAACCAGTTTTGCTGTGGCCGGACAGACCACGGCACTAATCTAATCGGGACCCTATTGCTCCTTCTCTCTGCTGTTCTTACACTGCCACGATCAAGGCATGCACCTTCTTGTCCCTCTCTCCAGGGAATACTTAGAAGCCCACTGTGTTTCTTTTCTCTGTGTTTTTCATCAGTCTGAGGACGGATGATTAAACAATTGGAAATCTGCCACGTGCGATGTCGCCGTGTTCTATGAAATGGGAAAAGGAAGCAGAACGGCTGGCAGTCCCATCGGTGAGGTTTGTGCAGGGGTATGTGGGAGCATAGCTGGTGGTACGTCTAGAATGCAGAGCAGCCAAAGGCCGTTTTATGCTCTTCTGCAGCTCAGGCTCCTTACCTGCTGCTGGGTGACAGGTGGGCACAGGAACCTCCTTCCTTTACCCACCCGCAGTACGGGTCTCTGGAGGCGATGCAGGTTCTGCGGGAAGAACAGGGCCATGAGCTACCCAGGACTCCGTTCTAGGACTTTCTAATGGTCAGTGAGGCCAAATACATACTTTTTACACTTCCCGTGTCGTTCGCACCGGCCAAGGGGAAGCTTTATCACACAGGTGGAGAATGCAACATACAGAGAGCTGCTTGCTTTGTCCAGCTGCATGCCCATAATCCTCTTGTCCTCTACTCCGTCATAGCTGCACCTAATGTTATAAGGTAGGATAATACTGTCGTAGTCCCTCTTGAGTCAATTCTCTTTCTCCTGACACCCCCTCCCACCCTGCCTCCCAGCCCACAGGGTGGTACCTTAGTCTGGTCTCACCGAAGGTGAAACAGATCTTCTAAGCTGCCCTCCCCAACCCACGTGTGTGTATCTGTATAAACACACACACTATTGGCAAGGAGAAAATAATGCTTTTTAAATATTAAAGTATTTTTTACAAACAATACTAAAAGTCACCTAAAAACGCATAAAACTGAAGTCTCCTATCCTCAGATTTTCTCTGAATCAGAAGGATCATAATGACAAATAATGACTAAGAAAGAGCCGAAGAGTCTACATACTTTTCAGGGTTATAAACGCTCATCTCCTCCAGGAAAATGCTGTCATTTAGGAAACCACTGTTTCCTATCCTGGCCAAGAACTTCAAGATGATTCCCTTTTCTGATCCCAGGAAAACCACAGTGTGATTCTGATATGGCCCGGCAGCAGTGTCCACCGCAATTTTGGTCAGGCGGTATCTAAAATGACAGGATCACGGTTTTTATATCTTTGTCGGTCTGTCACTAAAGGGTCCCCTTTTCCACTTCAAACAATTGTGACATAGCTTTCTAGTAATAACCTCAAGAAAAATACATGCATATAGATAATGTTCTCAAGCTGTTCTGGTCCTTTATTTCCACATGCAGAGCATTAGTATGGCTCCAAGGGGAGGACGGAGGTATGTGTTTGTGGAGGCCAAGTCACATAACAAATAGACAGCCTTAACCATCTGAAACCGCTCAGCAGTGATCCCTTCCATGAGCAGCAAGGAAAGGCTGAGGTCTCCCAGGAAGAGGGTAAGAAATACTACTAACCCAACTCATTTAACATTTCATTTAACACTGAAAAGAAAAGCAACAGCTACCAGTTTTCCGTACTCTGCCTCTGAGGTGCAAAGCCTTGTCAGCAGAATGGCCAATTGGAAAGCTTTCCAAGTGTACGTAGAGGGGCTGAGGAAGTTCTGAAGGATGGGAGAGTGGCATGCGGATGGCTCTATAAGTAAATACGATGATGTGCAAGCCAAACAAGTTCCATTTAAAGCCACAGGTGAAGGACAGCGGTCCTTCGATACGTCCTATATGGCTGCATAGGCACCATCTTTCTCAGGTATCTCTCAGCTGTTCACCACTCTGTGGATACCCATTTGTGCCAGGCACCTTGGCAGAAGCCAGAAAACACAGACCCTCCTACAAGTTATATACCACAGTTTCCATTTTACAGGCAAGAGCCATTATAGTACTTTTAACATCTTCCCATAAAGTCACCGTTTAAAAATGGTGGTAAAGTTGAATAACATTTTGTTTGATGACTGCCGCCAACAAGATGGTGCTTGGGAAAGCCTGTGGAATAGTCTGGAAATAAGCTCTAAAGAAATATAAGAAGGAGTATTTAACGCCATCACAGATTTCTAATCAACTGTCCCTTCTCTCTGGCCACCCCTTCGGATTACAAATGGTACAGTATGAATCCTTCACGCTAGCGTACTTGTGCAAGTGTTGCTCATCCCTGGTCTGTGTGACAGCTAACGAGCTGGGGACAGGACTTGGATGGAATCTGGAGCATGCTTTGCAACCATATCCAACCAAACAGGTATCCACATCCATCGACTGGTTCTCCTTCACTGCTTCCTGCTTTTGCCCAGAAGACTCTCACCCGGAAGGAGATATTTTTGTTGCCTCTATTTGCTGGCATGGGTCCAATTAGCCTGAAAATATCAGAACTTGTCTCACTGGGAATGTGGTGATGGGGGTTTTGTGGCAGGCACCCAACTGGCCAGCATTTCATAGCTGAATCAATGCCCAGGATAACAGAAGATGTTTGTGGCATTTCAAATCATGATCCACCAATAGGTTCTGTGAACATGAGATGGAGTAGGGAAAAATCCATTTTGGACGTGATTTGCTTAACACCCACCTGACCATTGTCCTCAGGAACCACGGCCTGTTGATGACAGAAGGCACAGCCTCATCCATGAGTGGGTGCGTTTTGATGAAGTTCAGGGTATCATCGGGAAACTCATTGGAGGTTGTGTATTTTTCTAAGGACGATGAGCCAGCGCAGCAACCTGGCCTAAAAAGAAACAAAGGGAGGGAGCTTTTTTTCATGCCTTATGGCAAATTTTTTGAACGAACTGCTTCCCTGAGCATCTGTCATGGGGGAGAATATACTGTAGGCTGAAAAGAGGAAGTGGAACGATGCAGAATGCCACCAAATAAAATATGCTTAGATTTTCTCCCGGCCGCCTCCTCATTCCGTAGAGAAGCTCCAGCCAGGGCAGTTCAGCCTCAGCCGGCGACAGCCTGGCTTACCCCCAGAAGCACAAACCCCCCAAACAGTGATGGGGCTTAAAACAAGGGAGGAAGTGTGTGCTTTGCCCACGTGCCCCAGGCTCTGCTACCTGTCCTAAAAACCTGCGGGACGTTCTTGAGGCACTTGCTCTACGGAAGGAGAGAAGGCAGCTGACGTCGCCACAGACATAGTGGCCCGCCCGCCCGCAGGCCAGCAAGACTCACTGTGACCGGCTCTCCTTACCGGGGGGTCCGAGAACATGCGGTTTTGTTTTTATTGTTTTTGTTTGATTTGGGCAGGTGTGAAAAGCCAGCTACACTGAAGATTCTCTCCCGAAAGGTCATTTCTTGATTTCTGAACAGTGACAGCAAAAAGTCATTTCTACAAGCAATTCCGTGGTTTCAGGAGTCAAGGGACAGCCTAGTAAAGTCGGGTCAGGGAAACACCGACAACAGTCCTGTCCACAGCCCAGCTCTGCCTGCTGGTTCAGGAGAGCACCCCGGACCCTGACAGCAATGGCATGATCTGGCCTCATTTACACACCATTTTATGGCACTAACCAAGCCAGCCCTGTGAAAGCATCCTGATGTCAGCCAGAGGAATGAGGAAGCACGTGGAAGGATGGGGAGAAAGTCTGTGTCCTGGCCATAGCCAAGTGACACCATCTTCACACACCAAGGGGAGCATATTCTACAAGTACTCCCTGAAACCTCATTCCTCAACCGTACTTCCCCTTCCTGCTTATCTAGAAAGTAGCTAACATTCCCAGACAGTGAAGTGACTTTTAGAGGATCTCTCTGAGCTTGCCATAGTGTACTTTTTGCACCTAGTCTGCTCTCCGTGAGTAACCGTATACACACAGTGGATAATTCAGGTGATGGAGATGGATGAACCACAGAGGTTTTTCCCCCTGGGTAGAGTGGTTCATGTTATCAAAGTCAGTTCAATTAAGTGGACCGGGGGTATTTTGTGTGGGGGTTTGGTGGTTGGAGGAGAGTGCTGCAAACCAAAAAATGAAGATATTTATTGGGCTTCTTTGCAGAAGCCCACAAATTCAGTGGAGGAAGCTGGACACACAGATGCTTCTATAGAACTTAGATGGCACATGTTATAATGGAAGTGTGCAGTGCGTGCTACATGAGGAGGGCAGGCGCAGGGGCGGGGGAGAGTTTCATCCTGTCCGCGGAGAGAGAATGAATTAGCTGGCTTAGTGTGAAGATTTCCCAGAGGTTACCAGGACCAAGAGGTCTCTCCATTGTCCTGGGACAACAGGTTTTCCATGAAAGTGATTCTGGGGCTCTACATTTTGGTGGAGGGATATGGACTGTTTCTGGATCCACAACAGACTAGAACCTGGTAGAGCAGAGAAAATGTGATGGTCCACTGTGCCCACTGGTCTCTACCTGCCCTTGCCCCAGAGTCCTGGACGCAGCGCCGATCCAGCCTGGTTACAGAATCCAGGGATCACCATGTATATTTCACATTTTATTAGGGTGTAAGGACATGGGTCTCTATAAAAGGGACGGGGAAGCAGGGTGGAGTGGTGGAAATAACCTACTCAGGTCTGTGCACTTGCACAAGACACATTCTGCCTCTCCGAGCCTCCCGTTTTCTCAGCTCTACGGCAGTGGGGCTGCACTGGATGCTTCCCATCATCCTAGGATTACACTGGATAACCCACAGGGATAGAGGTTAAGTAGAAGACTCGAGTGTTGTCGTTTGAATATAACTATAGGTAATGCCGAGTTTAGGTTAAGGGCATGAAGGCAAATGGCTTCGTAGGGCTTTCTGTTGTTCCAGCATTTGTGTCTCTGGGGCCCCCTGGAAGGCGCCGGTGTGCAGTTCTTTAAGACGTTCACTGTCAGAGGACCAAGCTGCCCACTTCTCGCCGTTCAGAATCACCACATAAATATTTACACATACCTGGGCTTGGGCACGCGTTCATCAGGAACTGGTGTCCAGGTGGAATCTGGAGACTTCTGTTCTTTGAACCTCCCCGTGAAAACATTGGCAATGTCAAGCATGTCGTAGGCACACACTGCTGACCCGGGGATGCTGTAACGTAACGTTTCACACAGCGTTACTCTCAAAACAGTTATGCGTGCAGCTTGGAAAACAGACTCCGAATAACTCTCCTGTTATGGGCATTAGAAATTTAAAGTTTGCACCCTGACTATAAGGGAGCCTAGTATACACAGCAAACGTTTCTCTGAATCAAGTTTGCGTTGGTGGTGGCTTTAAAGAAGGGACTGCTTAACAGCAAACTCCCTAGAGAAAAACCTCTTCATGTTGTTACTGCTTTTGGAACTGCATCTGTTTATAACTGGTGGTTTAGAAGGTTCAGAAATTCCGTGAATTTTCACTCACTAACCTTAAAGATAAAATCTTTGGAAAACATTCTGCATCTCTAATATTGGTGTACATTTGAAGTAAAAGTGTCTCACCTGTCCACATATTGCTTCTTTGAATTCGGTTTCTCCAGCCAGGGACCCCGGGAGTGAGAATGTATGTGTGGGGAGAGCATGCTTATTTTCTGTTCGTCACCGCCCATTTTAAGTTTTACTTCCTATTTATTTGCATGAGACGAAACAACGTTAAGTCTCTAAAGCACCAACATTTTGCAAATAAAGTGCTCTATTAAATGCTAAATAATAATAATGGTGGTAATCTCTACCTATAATTACATCCTTCTCTGGTGCTCATGGAAGGACTTGGGGATTTTTTTAATCAGTGGAGAGAAGGCATGAATTATTCATTCATTTGAACCCATGTTTGTTTTTAGCTATGGTCATTCCTTGATTTTGATCAAATAAATTGCAGGCACCAGCCGGTCAAGAGTTTTCACCAGGCTTTGAGGTAGTGGCCATTGCATGGGCAGGAGCATCCGGGCCAAGACACGGGCACTTTGCAGGGTGGTAACATTACCCAGGGCAGAGAGACTGGTTTAGTCTTGATTTTGCAAACGTTGAAAGGATATGGAAATCGCTTCCTAAGTGATTAGGGGAATTTTCTGCCATCTTTAATTTCGTAACACAGTTATTGAAGTATACTAATAAAGCAAGAATTAGGGAGAAGATTAGAAAGCTTGTTTAAGGTGGCGGGATGAATTTTCAAATATGTAGAATATATATACATTGTGCACAGAATTGGATAGATAACGGCAGTGGTCTCCTTCGGTTTTGGAATCTCAGAGCCCTAGCATTACTTACTAATTTTGTAAAACTCTCTTCACAGCTCCCTTTTCTAAAAGTAACAGGTATACGTATTTACTTTAAATATTATGACAAATAGGATAAATGTTGAAGTATCTTATGAGGCATCTCATAATAACTAAAGTTACCCTAGAGTTTGATAATCAATCTTCCCAGGTTAGAATCACTTGTGAAATCCTTTCGTCTTCCTTCCTTTACTCCCTCCCACCTTCCGTTCGTCTTTCCTTCATTCATCCTTTCTTCCCACCTTCTGTTCCTTCAGTGTATATTTACGGAATCCCTAATCTCCAGCAGCAAATGCTCTGTAGTAAAGAACACAGGCCCTCAAGCTGATACACATTGGTGAGACTGGCAGACCTGGCAGAGTAGGGAACGAATGGGCCAGCACATCCAAGAACTCACATTTAGCTCCATCCAGGAAGGCCTGTGGAGCTGGAGGACGAG